TTGTTACCTAGTGTTTTTCACGTATCATATAATACATTGTACTGTGCATGACATTAACTGCAATAATAAATGTATAACAAATTATAGACGTAGCCAATATGCAATATAGGGAGAACCAAGAAAAAATTTCACTGGAATTTTAAATCAGTGCAACACCAAAAGGTAGGTCCTTTTCATTGAAATAATCGCTTAACTGCTACCTGCTCAAATATATATTATTCGATCTGTTATTATTTTATTAAAATCTGCATAACCATATCTTAAGTTTTAATATATTGCCATTTAAGAGAAATTGGGGCCTCTTTTTTTTATGAAAGTTAATTTAGATACACTTTAGTTAGTAAGTGCTCTATTTAATTTCCATTGGTTACGCTTATCTTACAAACAGTACATTACAATCAATTGAGAGCCAACAACTTAGCAATATTTATATAAAGAGATAGAAGGATACTAGAACAACCCTGTTTGATGACAGAGTTGTTACCTTATATCTGATATGGTTAATATGATACTTTCACACATTTATCACGTTTTTTTCGTTATATTTAAGTATTCTAATTCGTATAGCCAATTTAAATGAGGTATGATCAAAAATCCATATCAGGTTAACTAATGAATACTCTCACATTTTTAGATGTAAATGTACATTACGATAGATGTCCACATCTGATGTAATAAATGTCACAGAGAATCATGTACCAATTTTGTTCAACTCAGCGGTCCTACACTTACGAGGAATTGCTATACGACCCAAAACCAGTGGTCTATTTGTATCTAATAAAAAAAATACTCATATATGGCATGTTGTCGTAACAAAACCATTTAATTACGAGATTGATAGTGACTATTTTTGCCTGCAAAATATTACAACGATCTGATCTAATATTTGAATGTCAACTACAAAAATTGTGAGCATGATAATAGCTTAAGTGTACTTTATTTTTTACAAAATTACATTATATATATAATTACAATATATATATAATTACAATATATATATAATTACATTATATATATAATTACATTATATATATAATTACATTATATATATAATTACATTATATATATATAGTATATAATTATATGTTCATTACGATCCTTTCGTTAGTTACTAAATACAATATACAACTGCTCTAATTTTTTTATTCTAGCAGTGAACTTTTTTATTTAATTTTGGATGAATTTTGGATTATAAAATATTATGTATAATCCCACACAATTCTATTATTTGTGTTCTAAGTAACTAATAACTTATTTAAAATAAAAATAAGTAGATTTTCTTTTTCCGTTCTATATACTAATATATTTAGATTAAATAAATATTTTCTCCCTTTTTTTTCATTATTTTTTATAATTGGCACCAGAAATAATTACAATCTCTTTAATCTCTAAAACTTTCCCAGGGGCATGCACCTACTACCATACAATACTCTAATACAGTATTGCATGTGTATCTCAATGGTTTATTATAAATTACCTTTTATTTAAAAGATGCGGTAAAAGAGTATTTTATACAAAACGATTTTTCCATCACTGTTTCCAGTATCATTTTTTTTTTTCTTCAAATTACATATCTTGTGTTTTTTTAGGTCTCGTTTATAATTTTTCCTGTTCTCATTAATACGTTTAATTATGCTATAAACACGATTTTACACTTCCTTTAGTAAATGCTTGTATGTATGTATATAGATATTTTTGTTATTTTGGAAAATTATGTTTTCATTTTCATTTAATTCACACATATTTATATTTTATTATTATATACTCTCGTAGTATACGTAGTATATATTTCTCTCGGTAACGGTAATACTGTTATGTTTTTTTTAAATGCCGACAAACCGGACGCACTTTGTCACCGTCACTGGTCTGTAACGTGACGATTGCAATATGCCGACATTTGTTGGTATCACAAAGTGAAAAGATATAAAATCGGAACGGAACGCGCAACGCATCAAATCGCACTTTAACTCATCACAATGCGTCATATTGCATATTTGTTGGCTTGTTTGTTTATTTTGTCACTTTCAATTTAATGCACAGATCAGTCAGAATAGTTGCAAAAGAAAACTCATTCCATCTGTGTTTATTTTTCCTATATTGTGTGTTTTCATATAGTGAAAACAGCTCCATTTAGTCACTCTATGCCAATATGACTAAGAGCTATATAGAGATGATAGGTATTGTTTATATTATATTAAATGAATAGTTCGATTTTTAGTTTGTTTTTTTATTTCATTAGATTTTTAAAATATTTTCATAATCACCTTTTTATTTAGAAATCTGTGGCAATATATTATATATATATGTTATATATAGCTTATACAATGACTTGTAATAATCTACAGCATAAAAATCAATCATCAAAACATTCTATATTGATATCATTAGTCTAATCATCATCAAGCCTGAATATATTTTGTGGTGAAGGTAGAGTGTGTGTTCTGATTTATAATAGGTTTTCTGCATAATAAAGATTATGTATATTTAGATAGAAAAGACCTATTTTGTTTTAAATATTATTCTCAAACAATATTTTACTAAGTAATCGAGGTTTGAAATATTAATAATTAAAATAATTCTACTATTCTCCATGCAAAAGAAAAATTAATAAGAGTTAACTTACTTATGAAGTACATAAACAGATTTTTAATATAGAATTAGCTGATTTGCAATTGGATATTCAAATATCACTGCTAATAATGCGGTAACGGAGAAAGAGTTAAAAGTCCATATGTCACACATTTACTTAAAAAGAAACATATTTTTCCTTACTTACTTAATAGATTGATGCTGAGATTCCTAAGCTAATATCTGAAAGTTAAGATGTTTAGAATTGCGCTATCATCTACATAAAATGGGTGTAGCTGCTGTCATTGTTAAAAGTACGATGAAACATCTGATCACTTAACAAAATTTAAGGTCATGGGTATAAGAAGTTTTGATTTTAGCTAGACTTTAGTAAAATTATTTTCGAATTTAGTCTGTGAATAAAAATTTGTGTTAGTGAAAAAATAAGAATATAAAAATTAGAAGGATTCAAATAGCAAAGAAGAGACAAGAACAAAAATTTAGTTAATTTATTGAAATTTGGCTAACCATACAACACTGTTTTGAGTACTCACAATCAGTAGTATTAGTGCGTACATAATTTGTGCTAGGCTTAGAACTCGTGCCTGTCAAATTAGAAGCGATGACTAGTCGTGTTTTTCCACAAGTAGCCAAGGTCACACAAACTTTCAATGCTCAAGTTTCAGGTTTTTTGTCACTTTTCGGTATCGGCAAAAATAATTAACTTTAAAAAAAAAGAATGTATAAATTTGGCCAAAATCTAGCCAGTGTAGACGCCGATTGTAACACCCCTAAAACGGATATTTTGGTATTTATTGACAAGGATCACATCCGGATTTTTTTCTTGTAATGAGGCACTTCTTTAGCAGACTCTAAAAAGACGTTTCTATTAAAATGTATGAAAAGTCATCTCGATTCGTACTAATATCTCAACAATATCGATTTGATTGTCACCTTTATCTACAGTATGATAAAACTTATTGCCACATTGGGTGCGAAAGATCTATAGTTTGGATCAGGAATACTTGGATATAATCTTTCAAATCATATAAAAATTAGATACTTTTCGTTTAATATTATTTATTTTCCATAACGGAATAACAATGTTTTGCTTAGAGAGACTCATCTTTCTTTAGCAGTTTTATTAACATATATGGTAAACTGAGTATCAAGTATTCATATTCTATGTTATATATATATATATTTATATTTCTAAACTTGAAATCACATGACTTGTTTACACATAAATAAATATTTATATAGAAATTTTATTATTTTAAATAAATAAATTAAATATTATTAAATTTATTGTGAAGCAATTAGAAAACTTTAACATGTTTAATTTTTCCATTATTATTCATCAATTATTGATGACGGGTTCGTGAAAGATAAATAACTTTGTACCACTGAATATGTACACCGTCGCGCCGTTATGCCAATCAAGAGATGTCAAGAGTCGCACATGTGGAACGGAGTGGGCAAAAATAAGAACAACTGTGGGCATAATTGAGTACTTATATCAAATTAAAACCATTTTGCCATTTTATGGTGCAAAGGTGTGTGTACCAGTGAACAAGTTAAAATAGACAGAGATTGCTGCTCTACAACTCAGCACAACAGCTTCATATAAACTTGCTAGAGAATGGCGTAAAAGTGGCTACCAAATTGTTTTTACTTTGCAACTTTGCCCTCTTGACGTTTAAGCACAATTGTAGACATCGTCTTTGACTTTACTGTTTCGCTTGCGTCAGGAAAACCTTTACATCCTCACTTGGTACTCTCAAGTGAAATGCTTTGTAAATGTTCTTTGGCATACCTATATATATTGTATGTTCCTTCCATCCAGTAGTGGAGTACATCGTCTGTTGCCGGTATTTATAAGCGAAGTTTGTTTTTGCCAAATGGTTGCAGCTGCCTGCCGGCTGCAGTTGCTCTGCTCTGTGAGGGCACATGTAGTGCTTTCCATGGTGCAACAATTGCGGTTTTCGTGATTCCCTTTGTGCCGTGCTAAAATATATATTTTCCAGCTATCAAGTAAACAAGAGCCATCATATGCGGATTCATCTGCATTCACTCATTTCATTCACATATGTATGCTGCAGAACTGCATGCACTTATGAGCATCCGGCTCAAGGGAATACTTTCAGATTCAATTCATTCAATTTCATTTTATGGAAAATGCTGATGCTTTTTGCTAACTAAAAGTTCGACATTGATTTCTAGCGAATTTGCTGGCTGTCTTTTGATGTGGGCGGTAATTTTAACTCAATTTATTTAAATTGAAGTTTCTTGCTTTAATTGTTGAAATATGCGGTTTTTGATTGACAGAAACTTCCTTCCGGCAGAATTCTTTAGATTTTTAGAAATAATTTATGTTTATACACTAAAAATTTGCTTATCTAAAACACTTTTTCTTTTATTTTTCCTTACAGATTATGTAAAAATTATATTGCCGTACAATAAATTAAGGTAAGGAAACTGTTAAGCAATCTTTGTTTTATGACATCATAGCTTACTGATTTTATCTTAATTGTTACGTGTTGCACGCTAGCGAATATTGTTTTATTATCGTTTCAATATCAATAAATTAACTCGCTTTTTTGTATCTTAAAAACATCGTTTTTTTAAAGAAATCTTTTATTGCAGCAACTATACTATGTACACTTAGTGTTGTATGATCACTTGTTTATTGTAAAAAAAAATAATATGGTTAAAATTAAGATAGAGATTATTATGTGTTAATAATAGAGATTAGTACAAGTGTATTTAAGTCCTATAATTGTTTTTTGCTATAATTAATATTCGTGCTAATTTAAATTTTGCAATCTGTGGTTTTATTAGAGAGATCTTAAAACCAATTAGTATTAATTTTGACAGCATCATATTAGTTTACGTAAACATATTTGGTTTTTAATTTATTTCTTCAACTAATTAAAAAAATATATAGTTTAAATAATACCAATTGTGTGATATATGTTGAATATGCTAGTGCTACGGTTAGTTTATTTAGATACAATTTAAAAGTTTCAAAAGTTTTTTTGAATAGACACTTTCCAACACTTAAAAAACTAGTTTTCGTAGATATAAATTGAAAGTTACAACTAGATAGATTTCTATTAATATATTGATTTATATGTCAAACATTGTATAATGATATGTTGTCAGATATATACACTTTCCAACACTTAAAAAAACTAGTTTTTGCAGGAATAAATTGAGTGTTATAACTAGATTGATTTCTATTTATACATTGGTCTACATGTCAAAAACTATATGATGTTATGTTGTCAGATATATTCAAAGTGAACACGAATATTCGACAAGGTTGTCTTATATTTCTTGTATTACTTAAATCTAGTTTTAAATAACATCTTAAAAATGTCGTTAGAAATTATAAAATTCAATTGTCATCATTCGCTGAATGGGGTATATGTTGAATATGTTGCCGACATACATCTGCACACCCCATTTAATATGATATATTATATCAAAACATTCATTAGTAATCAACATATACTTATTACTAAGATGTTATGAATGTTCAGTGAATATATCACCGGTTAATCCTTTCCGGTAAATTTTTGGGAAGGACGTTGTTTAATTTTGGATGTAGTTGGCCTGGATTACATAAAAAAGTGGGTATAGCAGAATTAAATGTTTTAGACTACAAACATAAGTTGAAATTCACTTTCGGTTTCCTTAACATATATAGATCCAATCATATAAGTAAAAATTATACTTCACTTACCTAAAGTAATCACTAAATTATTATTATTTATACATTACTAATGCCCACTTGATATTACAAGAATTATATACTAGTCAATCCATCCTTTAAGTACAAAACTCAAGTTTGTGGGCGTTGTCTAATTTTTAGTGTAGTTGGGCTGGTTAATAAAAAAAGTTAGAGACGCAAAATTAAACGGTATAGCCCGCATATATAAGTTTTGATTTACTACTGGTTTAATTAACAACATTTAAAGATTCAGTCAAATAAGAACTTTACTTTGAACATAAATTTCTGTATTGCAGTATAATTTCAATGATTTTAAATCACTTTGGATTATTGGATTATATGTATTGGATTATATTATATGGTGGTTAGAATCAGATGCTTTGAATAGAATCCATAGTGAAACTGGTGATCAAGTGATCATTTGAAAATCAGGATAAGATATTGGTTATGTTAGTGCTCGACTTCCTGATTTGGCTCTAATTAATGCATTAATTGCATATAATTATTTTACTTACAAATTGAATTTATTTTTTCGTTTACTGCATATAATTATTTTACTTACAAATTGAATTTATTTTTTCAGTTATTTGTGAATTAAACCTTATACAGATGTTTTTTATATTATATTGGCATGAAATACCGAATAATCAATATTTTAACAAAGTTTTTCCTATTTTAGTTAATTCAATTTTCGATTTCCCTGCTTTTAATTTTCAATAATTATTTCAATTAACGACTTAAATTGAATCATTAAAATAAGACCATTTTTAGCAAACTATTTTATAGCTAAAACATCCGTTTTGCTACTACCTTATCTGGTATCAGCTTCAGCATTTAGAACTTTATTTCATTTGTTTTGAAAAAAAAAAAATCAACAAAACATTAGTAAAAACTGTTAAACTGTTGAACAACTTTTTTTATCCAATATTTTGCAGTCCATTGTTTTGCTTTTGATATTTTCATTCATTCATAACTCTAAATGGAACTTCCGTTTCCCGACATGTCTGCCAATAAAATAGACAAACAGACGCTAGAGTTAATGAACTACATGGTGCTCGAGCCAGTGACTATCTTGGCGTCTACCAAAAATTATTGTTTTTATACCAGCAACATTATAATGAAGACATAAATGAACCATCATCAGAATTATTGCGATAATTGTGCCACAACAATGTATCTATGTTAAGTGTCAGAAAATACAGTTGTTTGTGGAAAACGATTAAATTTATTTTGGGAAAACCGTTCGATGGCTATAAAATAAAAATTTTATATAGTTTTGATTGAGTTGACTATTGAATAACCTTATATTGTATTGTTTATAAGCTTTTTTTGATATAGGATAGCCTTCGACAAATAATGCGTTTTTTTTTTGTAAATTTATTATATTTACTAAAATATTTATAACATATTTTTATTTATTTTTTAAAGTGTAAAAATATAAAATTTTATTTAAGAAAAATTTTGTAGTTTTGATTGCTTAATATTATTTTATGATTTTTATCTACTTCTTGAAAATGTGCCGTATTTGTTTAATTGTTTTAATCATTAAGCAATTGCGTTTTAATCATTAACAATAGTTTTAGCTTATAGTTTTGCTGTTTTTTAATTACTTTCTAATAACTGACTTTTTAACTTTTAGCTTTTAGTAAGAAATAGATTATAATTTAATGGACACTTCAGTTTGCTTGTTTTATTGGCACTTAATCATAATTGTTTACAAGTTGTTTTTTTTTGATTCATTAGAAAACTGAAAGAATTATAAACAAATATTATTAACATTTCAATAATTGTATTGAGGTTAGCATTTTTTTTATTATTATTAAATCATTGTGGGTTATAAGACGTTGATTTCTAAAGAATTTGTTTTAATGTGGATGCTAAAATTTAGTAAAAATATTTTTTAATTTTTGGAAGTGCCTAGTAACAAAATATCGTTTTAATTTTTTTAAACAGTTTACAGTTATTTAAACAAGAAATTCTATAATTATTTTAATAATTATGCACTAATTATTCGAGCAAAATTAAAGCTAAAATTTGTTGAAATAATTAAAATAATTAAGTCATTAATAGTCAAAGACCAGATTCGAAAAATAGGAGCAAAATTGTAAAGAATTTTATACTTAGACTTATATCCACGCCGTTGCCATAGGGCTCAATGTATCTCCTTTCTTCCTAATTTTTATGATACACGTTTTTTTAAGTTAACATCTACTTACAACCCTATAACCAATTTTGTTTCTTTAAACATTTAGTGAGATTACGAAAAAAAAATTTCTAAGAATTATAGCTAGATATCTGTAAACTAGGTCAGAGCACAATAGTTCTTCCTCTTTATCTTGGAAAGATAAAGTGGCAAAGATCGAAAATTAGAAATCTAAGTCTGTAAGATGTATTTTTGCTTAAAAATTGCAAAACATTCTTCTATTTGAGAAGAACTGCAAATTCAGTTCTGTTCTACTGGGGAAAAACGCCTTACCGCCAATTTTAAAATAAAGAAATATTATTAAAAGATATAACGGTTTAAAGCCAGAAGCTGCTTATATCAATGACTTAATAATTTTGAGACTTTCCTTCTGAACGTTAAAAAGTGAGAAAACATCTACACAATCTCTAGACCTGTCTTGAACCAAAGATTGTCTTATAGCTTATAGATTTACTTATAGCATAAAATGTCTTCGTTAAATAGGGCCAGATAATATAGTTACCACTCAAAAGAACCAGATAAGTGCGTTAATAAAAAACCTAATAAACTTGCAGATTTTAATCTAGAAAATAGCTATAATATTGTACTTTAAACAATAACATTAAACTGCGGGCACAATAGTTACAACAAATAAAAGATGCAATAAATAGTTATTATAAAACATATAGTATATTCCTGTTATATCTTATCAATAAAACAATAAGTTGGCTAATGTGATAATTTTTCATTTATTTTGTTTCGTATTGAATTTGTTTTTGAAAAACACATGTAATGTAATGTTAGATACTATTGGTTAGTTTGTTTTTTTATATATGAGAGGTGTGTCAGTTCAGTCCCCATGTTTATACTTCGGGCTGGGCACCATATTTTTACAATTTGTTTAAACAGTAATTATTAATGAAAATTTAGATGCGGGACTGTATTGATTTGTAGATATTTTATTCAAAACAAAAAAAAATATTTCTAATAATTAATGAATTTAGTTAAATTATTAAAATATGCTATTGTTAAATAATGGTTAGTGATTGAATATTTATAATCGAATACATTCGTAATTATAAATTCCAAACAAACAATTACAAGTATTCATTACAAAAACCGATTGCAATGAAAATCATTTATTGTGGTATTTGAGGATAATTTGCTTCAATTAGTTTAAAAAAAAAAGCTTATAACAAAAAAAAAATTAAAATCAATCTTTCAACTATTACGACATTTACACTCTGATGAATTTTAAGTTAAATAATATAGATAGGAAGACTTTTCTTAAGAACACCAATTACTATTTTAACATTTGTTTGTAAAATCTCTATTGTACGTTAACTGTTAATTTATTTATTAATTTACTTTATTGCATATTCATTGAATATTTCAATGAATTTATTTAAAAATGGAGTCATCTATGCATTGTCAGTGCATTTTATTGGTTTGCTTTTATCAGATACATGTGTCTGCACTGCACAAATATTTATCAAATGACATCATAAGGCAGCTTTGCATGATTTTTTTGTGTCAAATGAAATAAATTTG